ACAGTGAACTCATTTTCAGAGACTTTCTCAGTTTGTTGAAACCTTTTGTTTTCAGTCAGAATTCCCCTTTTAATATTTTTCATAAAATTTCATTATGATTTGATTACTCTCCATCGTAACACTGCAGGATCTCTCAGTCGGGCTATAATAGCTGGCAGATGTTTTGATGACATGAGAAGATGAAATTGGCTGCTGAGATTAAAGAAGTTATTTGAATTTTAAGTCTCCAACTCTACATGTAGTCTGGCCAAATCAGGACCAGCTGGCTTTGATGAATGCATCGACCGCAAGTGGAAGTGTCTGGCTTTCTCAGGGTTTACTGTCAGTATTGTGTGTGTTGCAGCGTGCAAACAGAGTGCAAAAATCAGGTCAAAATGTCTGAAACATGCAGATGCCTTTATTTCTATGTTGCACACAGTGGTTTACAAATACATAGAAATGTGGTACCCAGTGGTGGAATGTAACCATGTAGGTACATTTACTCAAGTACTGTACTAACATACTTAAAGGGAAATTTCAGTTTATTTCAACCTGTCTCCTATCGTCCTAAATTTGTTTCAAGTGACTAGTGACATAAAAATAATAGTTAGCATGTTAGCCGTTAGCCTAGATACAGCAGGGGCGCATAGTAGCGTCAGACCTGTTAAAACGTAAGTGAACGGGCAACCTTCAAGTTCAAAGTTAGTCCACTAAACAAGCTTTTTTTCCACAAAGACCGCCTCATATCGTTAGGATAAATGTCAGAGAACATATAGAAAACGACATGTAAACGTGTTGTCTTACCTTACCGGTGTGCTGCCATGTTTGTTTACCATTTAGCTCTGCTTTCCAAAGCGCGGCTGAAATCTCGCGAGACCTGTTCTTATCTGACCTGCCAATTCTGGTGTTCTCGGGTGAATGCCAATCAAGCTGCATGGTGCTGGGCTGTGAGCACAGGTCCCACTAGAGGACGTCTGTTTCTGACAGTTTGGTCAGAAACATGCACACCAGTAGCCTGCTGGAGGTCATTCTGTAGGGCTCCGGCAGTGCTCCTCCTGTTCCTCCTCGCACAAAGGAGAGGTGCAGGGGGGACATGCGCCCCCCCCCCCCCCATTTTTACAAACACAAATTGTACCCACAAATCTAAATTATGATTGATATTTAAGAAATGTATTAATTATTTAAATGAATCTGATTTTGTTGGGTCAACTTGTGTAACTTGTAAGTGTTTATTGTGCTCTTAGAACTGTACTAATACTAGCATTTCTGGCTCTGTAAAAACATGATCAGCTGGTTTAACCAAGCTCAGTTAGGGGCTCAATCATCCATATCCACTGATGTATACAGTAGTCCCATATACTGGGAGAAAGGGAAGATGAGGAGGAGAATTGGGAATCTGTGAGAGTCGAGAGATGAGAACGTGAGTGGACATAACATGCCTGAGACCCTGAAACAAGAAGTAGCATTAACTAACAGCGAGGCAGTGAAAAGGAGAGTGATGGCTGGCTCCATGTACTACTGGCTGTTTAAGAGAAATAAACAGTAAAGGTAAGCATATGATTCTCTTTGTAGTGCTTTTTGAATGACTGATGGTGATGAGCCTCTATGAAATCGTGAAATATGCTGGCAATCTCAAGTGCTCTGTGGGCATGATTTGCATGCGTGCAATTAAAAAAAAAATCACAACTGATTCTGTCCCCTCCAAACTTGTCATCAGATCTGCACCCATGCTGATTTGCCATCAAGACTTTACTGTGCCAGTGTGGTTTTTTTTGTTTCACCAAGCGAGAAACGCTGACTCCCAGAAGTCATAGACTCCCATTTGTTTTCAGAAATACATCAAAAGGAGCCCAAAGACCACAAGCCTAATCAAGTGTATTGTGTGGCTTTTCCCTAACATGACTTAGACTTAAATGTGAAGAACCTTCCCAGCACGACATTTCAGTTTCTTTTTCCATTTCACTGTCATTACAATTAAAGGGGAGAGTGCGGTATTTTTTAAACCTGGACCCCATTTTCTGATGTTTTTGTGTCTACGGGACTAATTCGAAAAACAATTTTTGAAATTGTTGTGGTAATTGAGGTCCATCCCTTGCTAAAATTTAACAAATTGCCTGCTGACTAAAAAGTCGCCGGAAGCACCGTTTAGCATCTGTGTGAGGTGCACCAAGTAATTTTGTCACACAGCTACTGTTACTCCATGGTCATTAACGGGTTTAACGACAAAGTTGAGCAGTTTCAGTGTCTGCGTGAGTGTGGGATCGTTTACGTGTCAGATGTTAGCCACTGCTGTTTTGTTAGCTTGTGCTAACCAGGCAGATGTTGCTCTCTCAGTCTCCAGACTGCTAAATGGTTAAAGACAACCTACTTTCATTTAAAATGAAATGATAAAAAATCAGAAAAGCCTTTGGCATATAAGGTTTCTCAATATTTTCATTTAAAATCAAATCGTTCCCAATGTGCAAATGCATTTTTTGAACCTCTAATACAAATATATATATCTTTATAAGATACAGAGAGAGCAGCAGAGATCATGCAAGCCACAGAGTAAATGAGTGGCACTAACAAGAATCAAGAAAAGAATCTGATTCTGATTGTTTCACAGCTTCGAAGCACAAATGAACACACCCTTACCTTTGCACAACCCTGCAGGAAGGTGTGGCATTGTTGGATTTTGTGTGAATTCAGCTAAAGTGTTTCATCCTGTCCGCTTGGCTTCTCCACTATGTGTGTATGAATGTGGTTCAACCTTGCCCTCAATCAAACAGACACACAGATCTGCAGCTGGCATCCACAGAGCAGAGGAGAAAGTAGGCTGGTTGCTACGTTTTTATAGAGTCCCGATCTCACGCTGCCTTTGGCTCGAGGCTGCACAGCTCTATCCAAAGGTTTACCCGCAGAAACATCACAAACAAGCCAAAATAAGAACAAAATAACAGAATACAGGCAGAGGGCAGATCTCTGCAGACACAGACACCACCGAATGTTGCTAATAGGTCATAAGAGAGGAATTACTTACGTGTGAGTCTATATATTGTTTAGGAAAATCCTGCCTGGTATGCCTTTAATTAATACCTGTAAAGTAATACTTTCCTGTGTTGTGTATCTGCTCTTCAGAATGTTTGTAATAACCACAGAGGAAGAGATCAGGAACTACTAGACTGGCAGAAAGGGCTGTAAACCAGAGGTCAAAGGTCAGTGACTGTTTGTGCACTCGTGTCCCTGGTGAAAATGTTTGCATTAAATGTGTGATAATAAATCAAAAATTAAAAAAACATAGGCAAAAGTTTGACTTGTGAAATCTGGATATGTTTTTTCAAGATACAGTGGTATGCAAAAGTTTGGGCACCCTGGGTCAAAATGTCGTCAAAGTAAAAGATTAACTGATTGCCAAAAGACAAAAAGTTAAAGATGACACATTTCTTTAGTATTTTAAGCAAGATGTCTTTTTCATTTCAATCTTTTCCGGTTTCAAAATAACAAAAAAGGAAAAAGGCCTGATGCAAAAGTCTGGCCACCCTGCATGGTCAGGACATAATAGTGCCCGCTTTGGCAAGTATCACAGCTTTTAAATACTTTTTGTAGCCAGCTAAATGTCATTCAGTTCCGTCTTCACGCACTGCTCTTTGAGGTCTATCCACAGATTTTTAATGATGGTTAGCTTGGGGGACTGAGGGCCATGGCAAAACATTCAGACTGCTCCTCTTGAGGTCGTCCATTGTGGATTTCGAGGTGTGTTTAGGATCATGGTCCTGTTGTAGAAGCCATCCTCCTCTTTATCTTCAGCTTTTACAGAAGATGTAATTCTTTACATCATCTGTAAATTATTCTGTACTCTAACTGTGAAATGTTCCCTGTGCCACTGGCTGCAGCACAAGCCCAAAGCATGACCCTTTGGGGACCCTGTGTTTACCTCTCTTGGACAGGTGTTCTTTTCATGAAAATCTGTGTCCCTTTTTCTCAGATCATACCTTTGCTCATTGCATCCAAAAACTTATATTTTAACTTCACCAGTCCACAGGACATGTTTCCAAAAAGCACCAGGCTTGTTCAGATGTTCCTTTGCAAATATCTGATACTGGATTTTGTAGTGAGGACACAGGAAAGGTTTTCTTCTGATGACTCTTCCATGAAGATCATATTTGTACAGTTGTCGCTGCACAGTAGAACAGTGCACCACCACTCCAGAGTCTGATAAATCTTTCTGTAGGTCTTTTGTAGTCAAACAGGAATTTTGATTTGCCTTTTAACAATCCTATGAGCAGCTCTCTCAGAAAGTTTTCTTGGTCTTTCACTTGAACTCCACAGTTCCTGTTAACTGCCAGTTCTTCATGACATTACTGAGGACACAGCTACCCGAAAACACTTCAGTTCATCTTCCACTCACTTAAGTCCTAGCAGTAAACAAAACCGTGACCAGGGTGACACTGTACATGTTTACAGGACATTTAGTACTTTCCAGCATCTATTTTGACATGTTGCACGTCCAAGTGCTTCATGTCCCATTGTTAGCACAATAGCAGTTTACCATCTCTCCCTTGTAAAATATAGTTTTTAAGGAAAATGTGCTTCTAACTACTCTCCACTCCCCTTGTTAAATTTAAGCTTTATTACATTTTCCTTCTGTGGTTTCAAAGTTATGAAACTGTGAGTTTCTTCCATATATTATTGTTATGAAGTGAAATAAGGTGTAAAGGTTTTACAGATCTTTGATGACACACATTTGTGCACCACATTATCCTAATTTATCCAGCTGCGGTAAAACAACAACAAAAACCCTACATACCCCAAATATTGTTTTTTCACAATTATTATGTTCATTCTTTTGCAGCAGACAGAAAAAGATGCCCTTATTTGCATACAAATTCAGGATGTTGTTCTCATTTTCCCTCCGTTATGTTTGTTCCCAGCAGATTACATCCTGAGTCAAATGGGCCTGGATGGGCGAGTGGGTGGGGTGTCTGTGGGACAGGGGTGTTGCTGGCATCTGATTCCCCCTCACACGTTACGGAAGTCTGGATCACATTTAAAACACATGTTACGAATCTGCGGCTGTGTGCGGTTTGGCAGCCCCAGAGGAAAAGACACTGATATGGGATTTAACAGGCAGGGGACTTGATCACTTGACAAACAGACATTAAAAATAAAGACGGGAACACACAAGCAAATAAAAAGGGCGTGCTTTGAGGCAGCAGGACCAGCAGCAGTGGGAGAGACACAGACACCAAGACAGACTATTACTTTAGCTTCTCATAGCTCCTCCAGAATTAGCCCACATCTTAGTGGAAGGAATTGTGTGGCTGCTCTTGCACCTCAGGGCCTTTATGCATGGACAGACCACAGCAGGATCTGGCGGACTGACAGAAGGGAAGTTTAACATACAGATATCGTAACCACTGAAATTAGCCATTAAGGGGGAAGCCAGGAGTCAGCAGACTTTTTTTTTTTTTAGGAGGTGGATATATAAAGAAGAAACACAGAGGAATCTGTTCATGTAGAAATACCTCACAATCCAGTCTGACATCAGAGTGTGTGCTGATGAGAAGTCCTCAAGGGGATCTTGAATTTATTTTTTTTTCTGAGGTGATTTTCAGCTTCTGACTTGTGCCCGCCTCGTTATTTCACAGGACACCTCAGGTTCTGCATCAAAGCATCTGCAGTGAGAGGTGCATGTTTTAAAGCCTCTTTAACCTTCTCCATTTGGCTGGTGGGCGTCTGGGTTGCTGCGACAGGTTACGTCTGGCTCACACACTCTCACACACACACACACGCTCTTTACTGTGCAGCTGGAAAGATCAAGAGTTTGTGTTACACATACCTGCACTGAGAGGACTGAGAGTGTGTGTGTGGTCTGAGGGACTCAGCTGGTCTGGGAGTCAGAGAGGCAGCCACCTCTAAGTGCTTTCGGCAAGAAGAAAAAGGAGACAAGTTCATACTGCAGAGTGCTTCTCACAGACTGCGGGCAGAGCCAAGGGATAATGATGAAGATTAAACGGACTCTGTGTAGATTCTCCTGTTTGGTGACTCTGTTGGTGGAGCTGAGCTGGATAAACGTGGGCCACAGCATGCACACAGAGGGAGGAAGTAGGGTAAGTGTGGCGTGAAGCCTTTATGTCTTCAAGTGCATGCAAGTAACAAGCCTCCTGTAATTTGTATCTGATGTATAACAACAGATTTCCTGGAAAACCAGTTTTCCTTGGTACTAAAATAACTTTGATATATTATATTACTTTGTCTGGAGAGCAGAAGTTAAAACATCGCATTGCTTTTGTATTACTGATGCTTGATTACACTCATTTTTTGCAGTGTTGTCTTTCCTTCAGTGCAGCTACACTCACATGTGCTCACTGTCCACTGAAACCAAAATTGACAGTCATCATGTGAGCACTCATATGTGGCTAAAAGGAGTAAAAGCATGCCATAATCATATCTGCGTCAGAGGGATTATTGAACCATTTCACTCTAATTTTTTTTTTTTTTTTTTTATCTGGCTGTCATTGTTGCCTCTCTCCACTCGTTCTCTGTTTAAACTTTCCCCTTCTTTACCTCCATTTCCTGTCATCCCTTTCTCAGGCACTCTCCCGCTCTGTTTCTCATTAGTGGGTCTATCCCCTGGTAGAAATTGTGGAGGGGAAACCTTCCTATTTTCTGCTGTTGTTTCTCTGATTTAAGTGGAAGCAGTCAGCCAGCCAAACCTGCCCCACCCTCCGTTCTGCAACACACTGAACACATCAGAGGGCTCTGATCGTTACAGATGTCCAGGGGATATAAAGCAAACACTGTGCAGACAAGTGCAATATTCCATGACTGTCCTCTCTGATGTTTGTAGACGGGCCATCCGGTATCAGGTTCTGGCTATTCCTGCCTCGCAAATGAACCTCTCCTCTTCTACTCTCTTAAAATGCCGACAAGTTAAAACAAAAACAGTAAAAATTTCAAACCCTACAGATCCAATCTGTCCAGCTTCCATTTTGTTCTGCTTTACATCATCATGGGAACCCATCTGATGTAGCATGACAGGTGGTTTTATGGTTTTCTCCCACTGCTGCTGCCTCCTCTTAAAGAGCGTGATGGTGGTGTGGTTGGCTGAGGCCCATATTTGTCAGATGTCCCGGGGTTTAAATCCCGCTGCATGTCATGCTTCTACTGTACATGAATGTATACTCTTTGGTAGCAGAGTCATGAGGCTTCAGAATGAGCTGCATTCAGAGATGGAGAGGCAGACCAGAGCAGACACACAAATTTGCTGCAGCAGCTGTTGATAATCACACTCTGTCTAATGTGTGTGACATCATGCCGAGTGCTCCAAGTAACCACGCTACAGCAAGCATCAACTCAGACGCTGGGAAAAAATAATGCACATACTGTATTATACAGTACTTTATTATTTCTAACATGCTTGCTTGAATAGCTCTGAACATTAGTGGCTCTGTGATGCTGTACTTCAGCTGAGTTCACATTACATAACTTCCAAAGTCAAGTTGCTCTACTGATCACACGACACAAATTGTTGTCTCAGCTTCAGTATCAAAGAGTGACCAAACAACATTCCCAGTTACAGAAACATTGCATGTAATATTCCACCTTCCACCCTGTCTTACCCTCTCTCTGTTGCTTTCTGTCTTCCTGTCAACCACATACACACCTGTTAAAACGTCACACTGACACTTTTGGGTCCGAGCACCCATGAGCAATTGCAGGAAAGTAACCACCGATTGCAGAAGCAACATTTATGCTGAATGCAGGCAGTGCCGGATTTTAAGACACACAGAAAGCTTACTTGCAAGCTAATGTTAGCTAGCTTGCTAATGAATACCATGAAGTATGAGGTTATTGGTACATTTTCCATTTACTTGCGTTCCATGCCTGTCCCCTGACTCACTGCCAGCCAGACAGCATCTCTCATGTGGGGCTGTTTGTATGTTTCGTGTCCAGTATCATACAATATCAACTTGTTAGACACAGCAACAGTCAGTGTTTCCTCCACACACTATTGGTTGAGACTGGTCAGAGCTTGCCAAAGTTGAACTGCGATACCAAGATGCGATTTTGCCTTGCTACCAGAACCTAATGTGTGACCATACCCTTACCCTGTCCTCAACCCGTGTCTGGTGCTCTTATTGGATATAGCTTACAGACAAAGTCCCCGTCAGGTCAAGACATTTGCCAATTTGCGAACGCTGAGTCAATGCAGATTTGACTGTGTCTGAAATTACTCCTTCTTTACTACATGGGATGGTAGTAGCTCTGGGTTGTGAATCAGAAGGTCGCCGGTTCAAGTCCCCATCCCGACCAAATACGGAGTGTGGACTAGTAGCTCAAGAGGTGCCAGTTCACCTCCTGGGCACTGTGGAGGTGCCCTTGAGTAAGGCACTGATCCCCCAACTGCTCGGGGCACCTGTCCATGGACAGCCCCCTTGCTCTGACATCTCTCCATTTAATACTGTACATGTTCAGGTCTCTTTGTGCATGTGTGTGTATTTCGGGCCTGTGTATATGACAACAGAGTGAAAAAATTGAATTTCCCCTTGGGGATTAATAAAGTATATCTTCTTCTTCTTCTTCTACACAGTGTCCCACGTTTACCCCTCACTATTTTATCTGACTGTATCAATTCTGAGTGTGATATGTAGGAGATAGGGACAATGAATGTCTGTACAAAATTCAGTTACAAGACATCCAATAGTTGCTGAGACAGTTAACTCTGAACCAAACAACCTTAAGCAGTAGAGGACAGAGGAAATGTATGAAGATTACGATTACCTGTGTCTGTAGGATTCATCCTCTGGGGACCAAGAATGTCTGAGAGAAGTTATACAGCAGTCTCTTTAATATTTGCCAAGATATTGTCCTCTGAACCAAAAACGTCATCTCAATGTTGCTGCTAGAAAACACCTAAGCGCATCACCAAAGTTGGACTGATTCTCCTGGTACCGTGGATATCTGAACCAAATTTTATGCCAATCCATCGAATAGTTGTTGAGATATTCCAGTCTGGACCACAGTGGTGGACCGAGAGAGACCAGTATTGTCAAATAGACAGACACAGTGACATCAAGTGAAATTGAGACCAACATTGAAGAGGTTTTTTTATGTTAATGCAAAACATTGAAGGATATTTGACTGTGATCCCAGCAGGAAGCGAAGCAGTGGGAAAGGAAGGTGCGGTCAGCCTCCAGCCTGGATGAACTGCTGAGGCTCGCAGACTTTCCAGACTGGAAGTTGTGGAAGTGTCGTCTGAGACTGCAGCAGCCAGAGACCCTCTCTTCTCCACCTTCAGTGGGCTCACACCGCTCGACACGCTACGCTGCCGAATCTTACAGCCTGGAGATACTCAAAGGTCAGATAAAACATTCAGTACATGTTACGTGTTAGTCTACACATGTGTGTTGATGTGGTTATGAATGTTGTGTTTCTGCCATTTAGCCATAGATGAAGAGTGGCAGCGGACTCAGTGCATGCCGAGGGAAACGTGTGTCGACGTGGCCAAGGAGCTTGGCACCGACCCCTCAATGTTCTTCAAGCCACCTTGTGTGTCCGTCCACAGGTTTGTTTGACACGACCCAAGACGTTAACGTGGTTCATCAGGCCTAATACTGTGGCACTGTCCCTGCATCCTACCTTCCACCTTCAAAGGCAGCAATACTCAACTCATGGCTTGCAGGCTAAATCTGGTCCCCAATAGGGTGCTGGGTGGCCCCCAAACCATTTTCTGTTCCATCTGTTTACCAGGATGATCAGTGCTTTGTCCACATCATTGGGCCCACAGAACAAGTGCGCTAGAGATTAGCGGCCTAGCATTCTGCTAACTTAAATGGTGTTAAAATGATGTATTCTTGCGGCTCTTCCAGACTGTCCAAATATTATCAGACCGAGTGGAGTCAAATCCTGAAATGAGTCATTTAGCAGGGGTTGACATGAAAAAAATGTATCCACTGATTTAGAGATGTCTCTTTCTCATTGTAAGTTGATGGGAAGAAGTCTTTTTGGACCCAGTGGCATCACGTGATGAGCCTGTGTGTTGTAATTCCACTGTTTGGCATCTACAAAATGGGATTTAAAGCCCAGGGCACTTCTTGGGGGCCATTCAGATTCAGTTTGACCTCTGACCAAACAAGAGCTTTTATGAAAACTCTCATAAACATGACAAGCCTTAAATCCCCAGAGTCAACTGAAAGAACTTACATAATTTTTTTTATGCACATCACTTTACCCTGATGTGAATTTGTTTTCTTACTGACAGGTGCAGTGGCTGCTGCAACCAAGAAGGAGTCACCTGCAGAAACACAACGACTGTATATGTGAATAAAACTGTGAGTAAACAAGTTTGTGATCACATGGATATCCTTTTAACCTTATTATTTAACTATTTTCTGAGGGTTGCAGCATTGCAACAGCAGCACTAGCTCTCAAACACTCTGAGTTTGTGTGATTCTGTGCATTTCAGGTCCTGAGTGTGATTCCCTTCAAGTTTGTACCAGAGCCCGTGCTAATAAAAGTAGCTAATCATACAGAGTGCCAGTGCATGGAGCCTGCCATAATACGACGTAATGCTGAACTTCAGGGGAGCAGTGGGTGAGTCCAAAACATTGGTCAATCTTAATTCTCAATTTATTGTTTTTATTTGTGTTCCAATCCATGTGGTTGATTGGCAGCTGCTCTCCGATGGGCCAGCGGTCAGAGGCAGAGGACTCCAGGAGACTTTGTGCCAGTGGGCTGATTTGGGATTGTTCATCTGACAGATGCATACCTTACCCTTCCAGCACAGAAGGTGTGTATCTCAACAACTGTTGACTGGACTGGCACAAAATTGTGAACAGACATTCATAACGTCTTGAAGACGAATTCAATTACATTTCGTTAATCACCAAACACCTGCAAAAATAATGACATCCAAATCAGACTTAGCTGCACTGTGCTAATTAGTAAATGATAGCATGCTAACACATGAAGCTAAGATGGTGAACATGGTGATAAATATTATGGTGGCCAACAAGGGTAAAGGTAGTCTGAGTGTGCGGAAGTTCGCTGCATAGATCAGCCTCTCATTGGGCGGAACGAGCCACCCGCTGAAGTCCCGCCCTACCACCTCTGGTTGTGTAGCAGTTTTCAACACATCCTTTACTAACTTTTGCTGTGTTTGATCTTGCGGGGATGTAGCCATTTTTCTGCCATGGTTCGCGTCCTGTAGGCGATATTTTTGTGGGCATATTACACCAAAACCTGTTTCCCCCCAGCAATATTTTTGCAAGCACACTGTTACTGTGGCACCGCCCAGAACGATTGTGATTGGTTGAAAGAAATAAAAAAAGCCAGGGCGTTTTTTTCTCCAATCTTAAAGTGAGAGTCGGCCAAGCCAGACCTTTCTTTTCTTGAGAAAGGTCTGGTGAGCGAGACTAGGGTAAAGGCAACAACAGAAACATCCTGCAAATGAAAAAAATGATTGCAGAAAGACAAAACAAATATGTTAACAGCAAACAAACTGCAAATAGAAATGATGCAAAATCAAAAACACGCAAACAAATGAAAACAAACGAAAACAAATGAAACAGAAAAAATGCTGCATATCCAATGAACACTACGGAAGTCCTCCAGGTTTCTAGGCCTGTAAGTGGAACAGCTTCGTTTTCAAACCTGAGAGACAGACCAGATGAAACAGCATATTTTTTATTACAGACTGTATTGGACATTGGCCATTTTGAAGCCTCAAGTCTGGCATTTCGGCCATCACCATCTCTGTTTTTTAGAGCCAGAAATGACCATATTGGAGCTCTGATGGAGGGAAGGTTGGATCTGCCTCAGAGACCGTGGTGATGCCTCGCAGACAGTCTGTCAGTCAAGTTGCCCCACCCGTAAATATGCATAATTCTGGGCCCTTATAAAATGTAAATGGGTGAATTATAATAAACTCACCCCCTGTACAGTTGTCATGAATGTTGAAATTAGCTTTCGAGACCAAAATCATTTTTTGTATCAGGCTGTTTTATTCCTTCTGTTAAGTGGGCACTTTAACATGGGCGTCTATGGGAAATGACTCCTGGAGCCACCCTCAAGTGGCCGTTTGAGGAACTGCAGTTTTTGGCACTTCTGGGTTGGCTTCAGTTTTCAGGCCCATGGGTTGCTGCTTGGTCTCCATCACTAGCTTCTCATCGTTGAGTAGACTCCAGAAGGTAGTCTGAAGAACACAGAGTTTGACTGCTGCATCTCTCTGGCTTGATTTAGGCAGTTTGCCATAAGCTTTGAGGGGAATGGATCTTTCTATTTCTTTTTTATGTCATGATTTCAGTGTGTGTGCAGCACCAGCCTCAGGTAGACAGCTGGAAGCAGACAGGTGACAGCAAGCTTTTAACACTTTTTCCATACATTGTCATGTATAAAAAGACCCAAAATGAACACTGTAAGCAGACTACTTGGTCTCAATAAGTGAATTATTTAAACAGCATTTGTATTAGGAAGGATTGTGTCCCAAAATTTTCCCAAGATGTTTCATATAATCAGTTGATCACTGTAACTGTGATCACTGTATGTGGTTTTCACTGTATTATAAAAGAGCAACACATTTACGAGAAGAATGAGGCCTAATATGAAAAGAATTTTGTACCTTTTTATGTTGCTTCTTTACTTAACTTTTCCTCTGGCTTTAAACACAAACACACTCACAAACACACTCACTTGTCTGGTCTCTCTCTCAAACTGACAATCATGTTGTTCTACTAAGTGCTCGGTTTTCATTATGTTTGGATATGCAGTGTTTTTCTGTTCCATTTGTTTTTGGGGTTTATGTGTTTTCGACTTTGCATCATTTCTGTATTTCCTGAGTGTGTGCTGTTAATCTATTTGGTTCGGCTTTCAGCAGCACACATTTTCAGTTTCAGGATGTTTCTGTTGTTGTATTTGTTTTGGATTTTTGTATGTGTTTTTGAACTGGAACAGTTTCTGAAGCTGCAGCAATGGAAATGTTTTGGGCCATTGTGGCGCGTTTGCCCTTGTCAGCCACCATACATTATATCTACTACAGTGAAGCATCGGCATGTCAGCATTGTCTTTGTGAGTGTATTAACATGCTGATGTTAGCAGTAAGCTCAAAAATACTAAACATATTGTATATCAAATTATATTTAATACAATGTTTTAATTTGAACATCAGCAGGCTTACTGAAACATTAAAGTGAAATGAATATACTATAAGTTAATTATCAAAGTATGGAAGTGATATATGTTACAATACAGAGATTCACTTAACAAAATGAGAAGACATTTCTTGTACACTGTCTTTGTGACTTTCTAACACCATTATTACCTCCTGCTCAGAGTTACCACTCAGTTCATGGATGCCTGACTGTGAGATAGACGTCGAGCGCTGTGACTGTCTTCCCAGACCTGTGCCAACTCTGCAGCCGAGACTGATCCATCGCTGTCATCTCAACTCTTCCATCTGCGCCCAGAGAAATCAACGTTTTCATCAGGCCTCCTGCAGGTAGACCAGAGGGAGGCTTTCGTATGATAATCTGCTTGTTTACCATGGATATGTTAAATGTTCCAGTCTGTACTCAAAAGGGACATTAGACACACAAAAGACCGAGCCATGGAACTGGTGGGAAATGTTGAAAGGAAAATTGTTATAAGGAAAACATGCTGGGAAATACAAAAAAAAGAAGAAAAATAAAAGCAAAAATAAAAGTTTCAGGTAAATAAAAGCGTATTCCCAGCAGCTGATCAGACATGCATAACGAACAGAATGAACAAAGTGATCTAAAACTCCTGCTGAGTTCAGGTTCATCTAGGCTTTCTGAGCTCTACTTTGTCTGAATTCGTGCTTATTTTATATTTCTAAATGGTCTCTCTTTTATTCACAGATGCAAATGATCCATGTAGAAGTCCACAGGGGGGGGAATTACGACAACCTGCTCACCAAGGATGTTTGGAGGCAGAGAAAAAAGGCTCATAATTTATTTACAGTCCTATTTATGCCGATCACTTTAACTAATTAAGAAGATATTAACTCACATGACCATGTTAATTGATTTTTTAACATGTTTACATTTTATTTCAATCAATGTTTAAAGTTTATGATTTGTACCTTTGTTCTTTGTGCACTGAATATGTAGTTTACATTAAAAGATTATTTTTATAATTTGAATCTGCGATGAATTTATGGATTATTGCTTATCTTCTGATGGATGCACTGTTTTTTAATCTTCATAAATCAATTTTCTCTTGTTTTTCAAAATAGTGGAGTACAGATCTCACTGGGGCTTAAAAGGGTGCAAAACACAACTTTGGAGAAGCTTTTAAACTTGTTGCACACATCATGGCCATCAAGGGCTGCTAAATTCTGTCATGGGAAATTACATTGTTCATGATGGAGTATAAGGGTCACATTGAGAAAAATAAATCAGATTTTGAGAATGAAGTCATAATATTGCAAGAATAAAGTCCTAATTGTGCTGGGGGAAAAAATCACAATATTACAAAAATAAAGAGGTGATTTAATGAGAATAAAGTCATACTATTTTAAGGATAAAGTCATGATTTTACAAGAAGAAAGTCCTAATATTATGTAATTAAACTCATAAATTTACCAGAAACACTCATATTTATGCCAGAAAGTCAGATGACATGGTAAAAAAAATGACAAACTCCCTGACAGAGAGAAGATGTGATGGATGAATGATTAATGAACGGGACTGTCACCAGGGTCGCTATTCATACCATGTCACCTGACTTTCTTGCATAAATATATGAGGGTTTTATTCATTTCTTTTAAAATTACACCTTCATTCTCGTAATATGACAACTCTTTCTTGAAGTAGTGTGGCTTGTCATTAAGTCACAACTTTATTCTCTTAATATTGTGACTTTATTCTCAAAATCTCTTACTCCGTAGCAGTTCAGTGAACAATAAATTAAATGTTGTTTCTTCAGAAAGACACGTTGTAACCTGATCATCTTGTTTGTATGATTTCATCTACATACAGTCTCTACAAATATTCACCATCTTTGGAAGCGTTTGTGTTGATTGCTTAAAATCCTTGAATCTAATGTGTTTTTGTGATTAAACAGAAGAAGCAAAAACTGATTTTATTTATTTACTTGTTTATTTGACAAGGGAGAGGAATTAAAAGAATTAGAATTAAAACAGTAAGCGTAAGATTACTGAGCGTGGAATAATTCAATACAATACTACAACACAACATTTACAGTGAAATACAGGCAAAGACAAAGCCAAAGAGGAGAGTTCATCATCATGTTCATGTTTATGTTCATGTTCATGTTCATCGTCATCGTCATCGTCATCATCATCATCTTCATCATCATCGTCATCGTCATCGTCATCATCATCATCATCATCACCATCATTATCTTCGTCATCGTCATCATCATCATCATCATCATCATCATCATCTTTATTTATAATGTGCTTCTCAAAACAGAGTTACAAAGTGCTTTACATGTCAATAATTAAAACAGACAAGACATGAAAACAACTTTTTAAAGAACTGATAAAAACACTGCCTCTGAAGCCACATTTTACATGAAGGAAGCTACTCAGTGTTTAACTTACTTCTGAAACCTTGCACCACTTCACAAGCGCATCATCACTATTAGGGGGTGCAAGGTCATCTAGTGGGCCAGATTGGACCCTCTGGCAGGCCAGTTCTAGCCCCAGGACCGTATGTTTGACACCCTTAGTTTAAATTAACTTAAAACTCAAACCAGTGAAGGGTCTCTAATAAAAGTATATTAAGAAGGGACTTAGAAGAGATCACTAACTCGACTGACCTGATTTCCTCGGGCAGACTGTTCCAGAGCCTCGGGGCCCTGACAGCAGACAACCTGTCCCCTTTAGTTTTCAGCCAGGCCTCTGGAACAAAGAAAAGACCTATGCCCAAGGACCTCAAAGTACGTCATGGCATGGACGTAGTAAAAAAAAAAAAACAAGAAAAAAAGTCATAGTATAGTGTGTCATTAAAAATCATGAAAAAAAGTCATAGTATAGTATGTTGTCAAAGATCGTGAAAAAAGTCATAGTATAGTATGCCATCAAAAATCATGAAAAAAAGTCATAGTATAGTATGCCATCCAAAATAATGAAAAAAAGTCACAATATAGTATGCCATAAAAAAATCATTAAAAAAAGTCATAGTATAGTATGTCATCAAAATTCATGAAAAAACGTCATAGTATAGTGTGTCATTAAAAATCATGAAAAAAAAGTCATAGTATAGTATGTCGTCAAAAAACATGAAAAAAAGTCATAGTATAGTATGTGATCAAAAATCATCAAAAAAGTCATAGTATAGTATGTGATCAAAAATCATCAAAAAAGTCATAGTATAGTATGTCATCAAAAATAATGAAAAAAAAGTCACAGTATAGTATGCCATTAAAAATCATGCAAAAAAGTCATAGTATAATATGTCGTCAAAAATCGCAAAAGAAAATTCATAGTATAGTATGTCCCCAAAAATTATGAAAAAAGTCATAGTGTAGTATGCCGTCAAAGATCATGAAAAAAGTCATATTATAGCATGTCGTCAAAAATCATTAAAAAAGTCATAGTATAGTATGTTGCCAAAAATCATTAACAAAAAGTCGACCTAGTATAGTATGTCATCAAAAATCATTAAAAAAGGCACAGTATAATATGTCGTCAAAAATCATGAAAAAAAAGTCATATTATAGTATGTCGTCAAAAATCATCAAAAAAGTCATATAATAGTATGCCATAAAAAATAATTCAAAAAAGTCATAGTATAGTATGTCGTCAAAGATCGTGAAAAAAGTCATAGCATAGTATGTCGTCAAAAATCATGAAAAAACGTCATAGTATACTATGTCGTCAAAAATCGCAAAAGAAAATTCATAGTATAGTATGTCGTCAGAAATTATGAAAAAAGTCATAGTGTATGTAGTATGTCGTCAAAGATCATGAAAAAAGTCATATTAAAGCATATTGTCAACAATCATTAAAAAAGTCATAGTATAGTATGTCGCCAAAAATCATTAACAAAAAGTCGACCTAGTATAGTATGTCATCAAAAATTATTTAAAAAGGCACAGTATAGTATGTCGTCAAAAATCATGAAAAAAAAGGCACAGTATAGTATGTCATCAAAAATCATCAAAAACCATCATAGTAGAGTATGTCGTCAAAAATCATCAAAAAAAATCATATAATAGTATGCCATAAAAAATAATTCAAAAAAGTCATAGTATAGTATGTCGTCAAAGATCGTGAAAAAAGTCATAGTATAGTATGTCGTCCAAAATAATGAAAAAAAAGTCACAGTATAGTATGTCATCAAAAATCATGAAAAAAAGTCATAGTATAGTATGTCGTCAAAAATCATGAAAAAAGTCATAGTATAGTATGTCGTCATAGATCATGAAAAAGTCACAGTATAATATGTTGTCAAAAATCATGAAAAAACATCATAGTATACTATGTCGTCAAAAATCGCAAAAGAAAATTCATAGTATAGTATGTCCCCAAAAATTATGAAAAAAGTCATAGTGTAGTATGTCGTCAAAAATCATTAAAAAAGTCATAGTATAGTATGTCGCCAAAAATCATTAACAAAAAGTCGACCTAATATAGTATGTCATCAGAAATTATTAAAAAAGGCACAGTATAGTATGTCGTCAAAAATCATGAAAAAAAGTCATATTATAGTATGTCGTCAAAAATCATCAAAAAAAGTCATATAATAGTATGCCATAAAAAATAATTCAAAAAAGTCATAGTATAGTATGTCGTCAAAGATCATGAAAAAACGTCATAGTATAGTATGTCGTCAAAGATCGTGAAAAAAGTCATAGTATAGTATGTCATCAAAGATCATGAAAAAAGTCATAGTATAGTATGTTGTCAAAAGTCATAGTACAGTATGTCGTCATAGATCATGAAAAAAGTCACAGTATAGTGTGTGATCAAAAATCATCAAAAAACGTCATAGTATAGTATGTCGTGAAAAACCCCGAAAGAAAAGTCATAGTATGTCATCAAAAATCACAAAAAAAGTCATAGTATAGTATGTTGTCAAAAAATCATGAAAAAAAGTCATAGTATAGTATGTTGTAAAAAATCATGAAAAAAGTCATAGTATAGTGTGTCATCAAAATTCATGAAAAAATATCATAGTATAGTATGTCGTCAAAAATCATAAAAAAAATCATAGTATAGTTTGTCGTCAAAAACCCTGAAATAAAGTCATAGTATGTGATCAATGAGTCCAATGACAAGGAGCTTTTCATTCTCGATCACCATGAAATCTGACAGTTTGAGCAGTTTTGAAAAGAGGAATTTGAGAAATTGCTTCATACACGTGCAAATCTGAGAGGACTCCTGACACAGAGTCAAGGCTGTAACTGCTGCCACTTCCAAATACTTTTAATATTAATTACCTTCAATTTAATATCTGACAGTTTTTTTGTTAGCCGGATAGCAGCAGAGAAGTTAGTGTTGAATTTCAGCTTCCAGGTGAACTCTTCTCTGATGATGTTTGACCTGCAGCAGCTTGTTGATGACAGTGGAGGTAAACAGGGCTTCTCATAAAACAGGTGTAAATGTGCTTCATTTACTGTCATTGCTTGGTGAATGTATTGATTTCCAGTCTGGTATACCTATTTTTCTCTCTGGCACTGCTGCTGATCTACACCGTCCAAACATTAAAGCACACAGAATATGTTCTCCCTCTTTTGTTGACATCAAAACTGATATTGCACCCATCTTAAAATGACAAAATATCATGATGTTTGATAAAAAGTAAAATATGATATTGTATTTATTTCAGACAAGAACTGGTGAACACTGCATATTCCAGATGATATAATACACAATACTTAACAGGTCTAAAGTTACAAGGAGTTTTGTCTCCCCCTTGCTGCACTGCTTGTGTACTCCTGTTTCCAGTGTTCCAGGGACATTTCAAGATAATTCCTGCATGGGGACCCAAATGTTGACCAGCATTCTCCAGAGTGAAAAACATTTTGGCTGTAGAGCTGTGACAAATAAGCTGTTCCCCTGGTTGGTTGTATGTATGGTTACTGGCTCAATGGACAATGTATCAGACTATGAATCA